CAAAGATCAAGTTCGTGTGTTCGATCCTAGCTTCGTGCAAGGATTGATTTTGTGTTTTGATAGTTTAAGTTTCAGAATGATATAATGGGAATTTATATTCTCGATTTCGTTCTGGTTCAAGATTAAAAAAGCTTAAACCAACAAGTGGTTAGGTATATCTGATAAAAAATCAACTTTCATCAACTTTTCCTTCATCACAGTGTAACGAGTAAAAGTAATGTTCAATAGTTTATTTGATTTTGCATAATGTATGATATAATCAGGTCATTCTGTCAGATTAAGTCCGTGTAGTAGTGTATTATACTTTACATTCAGAGATAATATTTTTGATTTTATTCTTTTTTTATGAAGTGGCAAAATAGTAAGTAGTTTGTAATAGTGCTAGCGTGCCCATATCCAACTGTGCATTTTATTTTTTTAATATCTTGGGTCATTACTTTCTTTACATTTCTTTTCAATAAGAAATAATTGAAACTCCGTCTATTTCAGTTTAGAACAATGTACTTTTCGTTTAAAGAGAACTCACCTCTCAAGTTGTGTTTCCAAAGGTTTAACTACTGTAGTATCTAATAAGCTTTGTATTGTATATTATTTTTTGCCTAAAGCTAAAAACGTTAAATTATAAAGAAAATTAATAGATTCTTTCTTGTGTTTATATTTCTAAAATTGTATTTTAAATTCTTTCTATCGTTACTATATTTTAAAAATTTTGTAGTTTCTATTATTTTTCTTTTTTTCATGTTTCTTTTTAATCTTTTTAGACTTCTGTATGGATCATTAATTTTTGTTTTAACTTGTTTTCTCTCATTCTTTATTATTGTTCAGTTATTAATGTATAATAAAAATTTCTCTAGAGAATTTTTTCATTATAAATTGTGCCTTTATTCCGATTATTATTATTATTGCTATTTTTCAAAAAGTCGGAATACGTAATTCATATTTAACAATGCCTAGACACAAAGTAATAGAATAAATAAATATAAGAAATCTGAATATGATGATGTTCTTTTTTTTCTATCCATGTCCGCTAATTCTTAATTATCATTAGATTTAGTTAAATGATAATATCGTAGGACACTGAATGTATTTAGTCGAATTCAATTTAAAAAATCACGGAAGCAATGGGAGTATTTACTAAGAAGAATGATGTCTCCATAGTGAATTAAAAAGAAACAATTAGCTCACAGCTACAGCATATCACCGACAAAAAAAAAACAAAGTTAGTGCAGAGTCGCGAAAAAGTGTCTTTTCGTATGCAGCACACTCGATAACCGCGAAGATTTTCTATTTTTGGCGATAGACACTATTAAAAGTTTAGGAAAAGTTTTCGAAAATAATGAAAAGAATTTCTATGGGAAAATAATATTCATTTCAAAATTTTTCTTAAACTTTTGCCAGCATCCCTCACCAAAAATAGAAAATCTATTGGGTTATCGGGTGTATTGAATACGAAAAAGCACTTTTTCCCGACTGTCCACGAACTTTATTTTTTTTCTTCACGTTAATATGGAACTAAGAATTTCTACGTAGTTAAACTCTCATTTCTGATATTTTTCTAATTTTTGCTTCATTTACTAGCCAGAATTTTTGTTTGTTTAATTCTATTTTGTTTGCCGAAATGATATGTACAAAAGATTAAGATCAAATTATTTGATTTTAAGTGTCAATTTTGTTCTTGTTAATTAAATGATTCTTCTATTGTTAATTTAGGTCAAACAATTGACTTTCTTTTTTGTGAATTAAAAAATTCTTCATATTAAATATGAGCGACTTATTTCGAAATTTTGTTGAATCACAAATAGAAAAAATGTCTACACCACGAAATATTATTGTCGATAAAATAAATTCACTAAAACAAACAGTTGAAACATTCAAAGGATTAACGACGGAAACAGCGAATATAAATAATAAAGGACAAGTTAACGATTATAGTGATAAAATTGTTTCAACAAGTACTAATGAACCATCAAATAGTAATACTGCCCTATTAAATGTTCCCACAAATCCGGTATTACGAGCATCCGTCTCTTCGTCATCTAGTGCTTCATCATCCACGAGTACTGAACCGTATACAAACAACAATCCAAAATCTCAACCATTATCTTCATCTTCGCGTCTTACGTCATCATCTCCTAATAGAACACCTCCAACAAGTCCACCGTTAAAACATAATTCACCAACACCATCTTCACCCCAGTTATTAAACAATATTAAAGTATTTACAGAAAATTTATCAAGACGAACATCTCTATTACGTCGACATTTATCTGAGAATAATCAAGAGACTACCGATGATACATCTTTATCACTACTATCTGGTGGTATTACTAAAATATATAATACAGTAGAACAGAATACCACCGATCGAACTCATATTGAAGATGGAAGATCACGAACATTGATAAGACAATCAACCGATACCACTTGTACATTTCCAGTTCGACAAACAATTCGACGTCAATTATCAGTTGAAACTGTTGAAATACCCGGTCTTAATGGTGTAAAAGTGGTTCGATATTTACACGATAATTTAGGTCGATTACAACCAGATTTATATAAACAAATACCAAATACTGATCCATCTTATGGTTATGGAAAAATATATTTTAATTTATTTTATAATTTATCTCTAACTTCATTTATTGTTTTTATTGATAGAATTGAAAATTTACCCGGACGAGATTTAAATCGATTACAACCATGTGATGCTTATGTTAAATTGAATTTATTACCTGAACGTCGAAAAAAATATCAAACAAAAGTACAAAAACGTAATTTAAATCCATCATTTCAAGAAACATTTCAATTTAATATTTCTTATGATGAATTATGTAAACGAACATTATTATTGGCTGTCTATGATTTTGGTCGAATAACAAAACGAAGTCTTATTGGAACAGTTAAAATTGATGATTTACAATCATTTAAAGATTTAAAATCAAATGAAATAGCATGTCAAAGAAGTATTGTACCAGGAACAGAGGTTAGTATTATGTATTATCTAAATATTTCATTGTGATACATTTAAAGAAAAAAAAATGTCAAAAATTAGTTTAAAATTTGCAATTAAAACAAAAGAATTTTTTTTGTTTTGCTCTATCATATGAAGATAAATTGAAAATTGTTACACTTATTTTGTCTTTATTAATCACATAATGAACGTTTTCTTTTCCCATTTGTTTTTCTCACTATCGAAAACTTCATTAAAAATCAGGATGTATTAAAACTCTAAAAATATATCTTTAAATTTAACTAATCTATGTTAATGAAATAAAAAACAAAAAGTGTAATTCCATTAATAGAAATAAGGTGGACAAAAAACAGGAAATCATTTATATTATCATAAAATGAGGACTTTCAATTCTCGTTCTCTCTTTTCTTCCTCTAAGAGAAAAGAAACAATTGTTAAAAAAAAAACACACTAAAAGTCAGAAAAAGAAAAAAGAAAAAGAGTAAAATATTATTCAAAAACTGTAAAACAATTTTTTTGTGCACATTAATGTAACACAACATATATTCCTCCCTTCTTCCGTTCCAATTAAAACTGCTGAAATGTAATAAACTATTTGTAAATTATAATGAAAAGAAGAAAAAAATGTCGAGCAGTCTATCAAAATCATCTTAAGATTGGTTTTCCGTACTATAAATGAATAGAATGGCGTCTACATTTCTTCAGTTGTTGTTGTATTTAATATTTTTTATTATGTGTTTGAACTTGTTTTGAATCAAAATGTAAAATTAAAATGATTTAAAGAGCTTTTATAGAAATTTTACTTGTGAGACTTAGTTTTTTTTATAATACTTAAATTGACATTTATTATTATTATTATTATTAAATCAAAAGACTAGTACACTTTAGATATTTCATGCACAGAGGCATAACAACGATTCACTTTAGAAAATCAATTGAAAAGAAAAATCACACTGGAAAATTTTGGCAAAATACAGACATATTTAAAGCGCGTGTAATCCTTGATTTTTCTTTAAAAAAAATTGTGCTCATGCACGCTTTAAACGTTTCTGTGTTTTAAAATGTTCCAGTGGGAAATATGTTAAGAAGTAATTGAGATAAATCAGACATAAATCACATATAATTCAAATATGT